ATACCATAAAAAAGCCATTTACAAGCAAGAAACAAGGATTCATCAGAACAAAATTAAGCAGCACTGAAATATTCATGTCACAAATCTAAAACAAAATGAATACAAGAGTAAAATATCATTTGAATAAATAGTTTTAAAGTCATGCTATAAAATAATCCTTAATGGCAAGTTACTAGTTGATATAGCATCCGCTTAGCTAGCTTCATTTACTTCATATGGTGATGAAGTGTGGAGTTGTGAGGTTACCAGTTTATATTGCAAGATAATGACACTGTGTTAAGTCATTCAAATTGCTCAACCATTTATAACGGAAAATGTTAGCCCTACTAGTCAAAGTGGTGAAAGAGATGGTTTCACATTAAGAAAATGGTCATTCTCAAACAAACCAGGTAAAGTTCACCTCTCACTACAGTCAGGGCAGCAACCAAAGGCTTGGGCAGCAAGTCCAAAGGTTGAATTCACAGCATACTTGTCACTGAGGAGCAGCAAGAGGTCTGTTTACTAAATCTGCTACAAGGAGGGCCAAGTGAGGCTTACTCCAGGACTTGATCAAGAGCTACAGTAGCCCTGTCTGTGCCAGACCCTAAGAGGGAACCAGCAAACACAGGTTCTCTTCTGGGCTGGGAGGTCAACAGTGGAAACACTCTGGCACTTACTGGAAAAGATGTATGTGACATGTGACAACCATTACAAATTTGGAACAATGTGAATGACTTTTCTGAACCTTTATTAGTTCAGTTGCACTGAGTATTATGAAATCTATGATTTATGAACTAGATAAGTTTCATATAAAGAATTTACACAATTCCCCAATACTTTCATATATAAAATTTAATAAATAACCCTGACCAGTCTAGAAGCACCATTCAAGGGGCACATGCCCTTGGAAAATAAGTTTAGGTGTTGCATATTTGAGTCCCTTTTCAGTGGAGGCTTCACAGGAAACCATTACAGATTTTAACACTAATGACAACATAAAAATCACAGTAACTAATAGAAAAAGTTATTTGAAAAAAAAAAAACACATACTGATTTCTTTAGAGTAAAGCTCATTCACATGGATGATTTTCCTCCCAGCCCTTGCTTTGTGTTCCTGCAAGTTCTTCCTAAACTCTAGTGTATAAACAAAAATAAAAACAAAACCACACACAAAAATATGCAGGCCTGTGGTCTGGGCTAAGGGAAAAACAAAGACTTGGATATGACTGCTATTATCAGTAAAGTCATGCTCTGGAAGATTATTTGGAAAAATAAAAAAAAGCCCTATCAATTTAGTTCCTACAGTATATTCTGCTTAATGGACAGTATCCTTTCTGCTGATTTTGCTTTTTTAAAATAAAAAAAAAACAAGGCAGAGCCAATTGGGAGGCTTTCCACTGACCAGAAAAAATAACTTGTCATCAGATACTATATTTACAAATATAATTTCTAAATGTATTTACAGTTGTAATAGAACTTAGATGATAGAGAACTGATTAGAATGAAAGGATCTGTTTAAAACCACAAACATTAGTAAAAGTATATAAAACTCTTTGCTTTTCACAGTTTGTAATATAACAGGTTAAATAACTATAGAAAAGGATGCTGTCACTGTCTTCACATTGTCTACATATTTGAAAAAGGTAGCTCAAGAAGAGACTCAATTATGAACAAGCCTATATGAATTCAGGATATATTTTACTGTAAAAGATTTCTTCACATATCACCTTATCTTAATCTGATTTCTGCATTTGTTAGAATGGAAACATCTAACCTGAAACTGTACAGAAATAGGGACTTTGCTTTTTCCAAAAAAGAGTTGCTCTAAGGAGTTACACAGCGTACTTCGTCTGCGTAGAGATGAAGTGAACTTCGGGGAGAAGACTGTTTCTGTTCTGTGGTCATATTAATCCTCCTGGCACATCCTCATGTGACAAGGCACAATAAATTGCTGCTGCCCGGTCTGAATGGAGTTAATCTTTCACAGCCATGCACAACTGGGAAGCATGACAGTATAAATGCTCAGAGAGGCTATTGTGCTGGTCTACGCGCTGCCTCCCTCGAAGCCCTGCGGAACTTTACAGTACTGTGTTATGGCTTGAGAATTCATTCTTAACACTGCTAGCAGTGGAAAGGGTAAAGTGTTAGCAACATGAATGGGAGCAAGTGAAACTTGCAAAATGTGGAATCATGACTATTCGAGAGAAACTCAATCAATTGTCTGCCCCTTTAACAGTCCCATTACAATGTTTGAACCTGAACTGTACAATCAAAGCAATGTTTGTCAGAGACAATTTTGGATAAGTCACTCTTTGGTAAACTCAAACCAGTTAAACAAATTTACAAATACAAAGAACTCCATGTAGAAGGTTAAGACTGACACAATGACAAGAACCAGGACATTCAAGGTGCTTGCCCCAAGTGTCCTCCCCTCCTAACTTGTCTCACATATCGCAGAAAGCTCTGGAGACCTCTCTGACGGACCCACGCCTGAGTGAAAAGGAGGTTCCTTCCCTGAGCCTGACCTTTCATGTCCTTGATTTGGGCATTTCTTGTCACAATTTATATCAAAACAACACAGTTATTTTATTTTATTTTTTTTTGCATTTAATTCTTAAAATAAGAAGAAAAAAAAATCAAAACCAAACTTATTTATGTAAAGAAAAAAAAATTTATAAACATTTACCTGAAACCCCAGAACATATTTAAAGTGGGTAAACACGTGGGGTCCAGCCTCCCCTTGAGGCACACGGCTTTAAAAGGAGTTGAACAAGTGCTTCAGGGAGAGAACAAACCCCTTACTTAGGCAGTTTGACAAGGAAAAAGGCATACTATATACCCGATTTAGCCAGAGTCGCTCCTTTGGAGCAGCAGGAGTTAGAGGGTAATCTGTACGTAGTAACACTGATGTGTAGTGCAGCCGTTCACACGTGAGCAGATCCTGTGTGCTAAAGAGACGCTACTGCACAGTACCACCCCCAGGGGTCTATTACACACTTAGGACTTGAATGATTTTTTTTTTTTTTCCTCAAAAAAATCTCCCCTACCCAAAAAAGAAAAAAAAAAAATCCCAGAAAACCCACCATTATTTGTATTTTAAGAACCAAAAAAGCATGGGAAACCAGCAAACATCTATTTTTTATATTCCTTTAACTTAACTCATCTCCTACAAAGTTGGTTTTTTCACTTGTTTTTCTTTCTGATGGTTTTGCTCTTCTCTTGTGGAGAACCACTGGTTGTGAGTTTTCAACCCACACTTCTCAGGCAGTCTGGAGTACTGACACCAGTCTGTAGCACAAACTCACAACCAAATGATTGACAAAAATTACTCTGCCAGAATAGACAGTACAATAGCAATCTTGTGACGACTATTGTGCATACTAGAAGCACATGTGTGAGCAAAATACAGAACTGAAGACACCTCCTAAAGTACGACTAAAAACATTGTTCAAATAGGACTCAGATAAATTGTAATACAGCAATATGTTTGCTAGTACATGCTTTTGAGGTCTCTTTTCAAGCTATCAACTCAAGAGAGGAAAAAAATTGTAATTCACTGTTACCATTAGATTTCACATTTTCTATACTATACTGACCTAAAGTATACTTAAACATAAAAAATAGCACCACATGGAAAAAAAAATGGTGACACACTGAGTATCTTCGAGGGCTTTTTTAACTGTTGGTGTCTTTTAGCAGGAAACACTGAGAGAGTAGGGGAGCCTTTGACGCTCTCATTAGCACACACAATACTAAGATATATATATTGCTTGCAATTCCCATAAAGTATATCTTTACAAAAAGTACAAATTCCAAGTTCTGCAGGTTCCCTGGGAACTGCATGTAGAAAAAGTTGCTGTGCACCTGAACTGGCTGTTTGAAAAGAGAAAGAAAAAGAACACAACACTGCTTGGAGAATTTTGTAGCTAGAACTACAAATCCTTTTCCATTAGCACGAGGACTTACTCGTGGTAGAGAGTGATTCGATTTAGTTACCTGGTATGTATGTTTCTACAGTACGGAATGAAGGTAGATTCGTAGGCCAGTAAAAACATTGAAAACCACTGCTCCTTTGGGGTTGGCTAATATAACACGACAATATGTAAAAAGGTCAGCACCACAGGTCATCCAGCTCACCTACTGGACAACGAACAAAAATCCCAAACAGTTTCCAACTAGGGTAAAATACATTTTATGGCATTTGGTTTATGTGTTTGTCATGAAGCAGAGCTATGAAGACTGTGATTTGCTTTGCTTGCTTTTGGACACAATGACTAATAGATGTGAAAACCACTGACATTCTTTTATAAGGGAAAGAAAGGGGTGAAATCCTAACATATTAGGTAGGGATGAGACAGAGTCAAAAGCCCTGTTCACTTTGTATTAAATTATATATTCCTCTTACATTCGCCTCAACTAGAATAAAATCAAATTTGAGGATGTATATATACTATATATAT